TCGGAATGTCACTTTAAAAAAATGTTAACATGAAATTTTTATTTTTTGGGAATTATAGGCCAGTATAGGGAGTTTTGACATATGAACTTCAGCACAAATTTTGACGCGCAATAGTCATCTATAAGGATAAGAAGCAAATATACCGAGTTTGAACCGAATCGGGAATTTACACTTACCTAAGTCTCCTTGTGAGGGAAGGATAGAGGACATACCCACGCCAAACGGAATGAAGTACTTGCTGGGCGGCTTGAGGCTGCCCGTCTCGTCCAAGAAGCGCTCGGGCCTGAAGCTCTCTGGGTCACCCCAGTGGTCGCGGTCCATGTGCACGGACATTAGGTTGGCGAGCACGATCGTGTCCTGTGCTCACAGAGGTCAGAGGTCAGGAGGGAGGGGGTCCGGCGTGGCCTAGGTCCTTCAGCTTTGTTCACACGATGCGCACCTTGGGCACGACGAACTCCATGATCTTGGCGTTGCGCACGGCCCGGTGAGGCACGCCGACCGGCGCGATGTTTCCCAGCCGTTGCGTCTCCATGAGCACCGCCTCCAGGTACAATAGCCTACGGATAATTCGTTTCAGTGAGAAAGGGCAGGCTCGAAGCGCTAGGGACAAAAAGAGAGAGAGAGAGGGAGGGACACGTACTGGTCGCGGTCCTCAAGGCTCGGGTCGCGCTCCCGGCCCACCACCCTGTCCAGCTCGTCCTGCGCGCGGCGCTGCACGTCGGGGTGCTGCAGCAGGAACATGACGCAGAAGCCCAGGGTGTTGCTCGTCGTCTCGGCGCCCGCCATGAAGAGGTCCAGCAGCAGCGACAGCAGCTGCTTCTCTGAGGGCGCCGCGCGGGTCATTGAACTCGTCCAGCCGGCCATGGGTTAATAGGCTGTAAGCGGGCCGTACTTACATACCTGAGAAATTGCTGCCTTCTCTGCCCGTCAACTTCATCTCCTCGAGGAAGGCGTCGATCAGACCCCGGGGTTTGCCTGGCTCTAGGGTCTGCTGCTTGTGCTCCGCGACGGTCTCCTGGAGGATCAGACACTGTGTAGATGGAGACCGCTCTGTTTCAAGCCCTTCAGGTTCCTGCCATGCTGGACTCACCCCGAGGAACCCCCAGAGCGTGCGCAGGTTCCGCAGCGTGCTGGTGTAGCCGCAGCGGCCGGGCGCGACGAACCTCAGGAAGGGCATCTGGTTGAGCAGGCCGCCGGAGACGTCCGTCTCCCGGAAGCAGTCGTGCAGCGTGTGCAGCAGGCTGTCGAGGCGCGCGTCGTCCCGCCGGAAGCGCCGCCCGTCCAGCCGGGCCCACAGCACGTTGAGCACGCTCACGTCGAAGGCGCGGCACATGGGCACGGGGCGGGCGGTCGCGGCCTGCGCCCGCAGCGCGGCCACCAGCTCGGCCGCCTCCTCCGCCACGTGCGCCTCCACGTCCGGGCGGCGGAGGAGCCGCTGCGAGAAGCGGCGCTGCTCCTGCCAGTGGTCGCCCTCCGTGAACACGATGCCTGGCAGCGGGAGAGAGAGAGAGAGAGAGTCGTCAGGACCCCGGCCACGGCGCTGTGCCGCTCTGCTGCTGCGAGCCCTCCGGGGACTTACCGAGCCGCTCGCCGAAACAGCGCAAGCGAAAGAAGAAGCCGTCCGGACGCCCGTCAAAGTCGGCGTGCTTGAGCACCTCGCGCACCGCGACCAGCCCGGACGCGACCACGACCCGGTTGCGGCCCAGGCGGACGCCCACCACCGGTCCGTACTGCGCGGCCAGCACGCGCCAGACGTCGTGGAGGAAGCCGTACTTCTTGACCAGGCGGCGGAGTTGCGGGTACGCGCCCACCACGGGCAGCCAGGAAGGCCCTGCGTGTCGACGGGTAGGTCAGGCACAGACAAGCATACTACCTGAGAGTCGCGGGAGCAGGGTGTTCCAGCTCTCCAAGTCTCTCCAGCTCCCCGATTCAGCAACCCGCTGCCGCTGATACTCACCCGGCGGGAAGTCGCGCGGCTTGGAGGCGTCTAGCAGCAGGAGCACCACCACGACGGCTAGCAGCAGGAGGGTCAGCGACGGGTACGGCAGGGAGCTGACAGCCAAGGCCATGCCTCCGCTGTGGCGCAACGGTCATCACCACCATCACTGATCATCGTTCGTAAAGTGTTCGAGTATCCGTTATCGGATTGGACAGGGCCTATTCTGAGGGGCGTCCCCGGCAGGCAAGAGAGATGGGGGGGGGGGGGAGGTCGCAGTCAATGCCCCACCCATTGTGTGGCAGGCTCGGGCCGGCTGACCGCTCTAGCTGACCGGTCCGACGGTTCGGCCCCCGCCGCGCCGCACCGGACACGACCTACCCGATGAGGCCCGGATCAGCTGAGTGAGCGGCCCCGCCCGCGGCCCCCGCCGCCGCGGGATACCGGTGGGGTAGGCTACTTACGGTCCAGCTGATTATACACCGTGAACAATACATAAATGCATCTGTCGGTTCGTGAGTCTGGCTCAGCTGACTACTACTCTCCGAAAAATGTTCAACGACCAAGTTTTATTCTTTTATAAAAACGGGATAGGGGCACTTCCCTCATTCTAGTAAAAATCGCATGACTATGTTTTGTTTTGTTTTAAATAAATAATTGGAATTGTTGGTAGTTAGAATGAAGATAGCAGGACTCAAGAAAGAAATTAGGATCGAAATTTTGCCAGTGCAACAGGACACCCATTTTTGCCCCTTTCCTCCCCTAAAAACCCTCAAACAGATTTATTGATTTTTTTTTTGGCAATGTCGAATGTAAGTTTCCTTCTTGGTTCGTGATTCGCACCCAAGTCCATAGTCTGGACGCTTCACACTTCCTCCGCCCCGGCCGACACTAAACGACGGTGCAAACTTTACCTGGATAGTGGTGCGGTGCGCTTCGAGGAGGACGTTGGCGATGACGCGGGCGCGGCTCGAGGCGAGATGCCCGCAGGTCCAGGACTCTAGTCCAGGCGAAGGACGAGTATCCTCCGGTGCCGTGGTGCCGACACTGCCACCAAACAAGTCCAGGGAGGGCCGAGGCTGAGGGCCGAGGCTGCCCGGGCCGGACTGTGCTAGGGCCGGGGCAAGAGGGGGACCCTTCAATGGTGGGGGACTATTTAGGGTCCTGGCGGCGCACTGCGGCTATCGGCCTGAGGCGAGTCTCCGGCTCCAGGAGCTGCTCTGCTGCTGCCTAACAACCACCCCGACGAGGTCCACCGGGCCCTTGTGACGCCTGGGACGGACGGGAGCGATATGGTGCCTGCTGACACCTACGACCGACATGGGGCCCAGCCTCACGCCCCTCACGCCCGTCCTCACCTCGCCAGAACACAAAGCAACGAAGATTGTCATCTGCCTTTTCACCGCTGTTCCGATTTTAGACTTCCGGACACCCTCCCGGAGGTGTTGGTTTGGGGGGGGG